GGCGTGAAAGATGTTAGGGAGGAGTTGAGCAAGTAGGTGCAGGTTAGGATGTGGAAACCAGTAGACTGTGAGCTGGATCTAAAGGACTTCTTGGCTGAGGAGAAGCTAATCCAGGTCGGGCTAAGCCCTCCGGGTAGGTCATCGTCTCAAGTTCGAGTGTTTATTTTCTTCACTTCATGTTGATTTAACTAACACTCGGGCTTCTTGTGCAGGTGACATGTCAGGCATCGCAACTTCAAGGTTCCTCTAGAACATGAGGAAGAGGAAAAAGAGGAAGGTGTCTCACAAGGACGCTCCTTGGGCATCTTCTCCAGAGCCAACTATGCCTACTGTTGCCGATGAGATCCCAGTGGCCAACCTGGTCGAGGAAGATCAGGCGAGGAGGCCATCACAAGAGACCGAGGTGGCCCAATCGTTCGAGGTGCGCCCTCTGCAACCAAGATCTCCAACAGCCGAGGAGGCACCTGAGGAGAGGCAAACCATCATGGACTTCTGGACCGCCTTGATAAAGAACAAGGAGGCCATCTTCCCTGAGGAAGTCTCTAACATGTCCGAGATGCGGTCTGGTGAGCTCAACACCAAAGCAATGCGTTTCCTCATGATGGTAAGCTTCCAAGTTCTTCGTTGTACTATTCCCGAGTTGTTTCTTTATACTTAGCTTATTTCTTATCTTTGCAGGCGAACTCCATAGTCCACTCCCTTGTCAAGTAGTCTGAGCGGCATTTGGCGAGGGTTGACAACACCGAGGTGGCAACGAATGAGTACCAATCCCGTGTTGAACGAGTTGTCGGCATCATCGGAAATTTAAAGGACGAGCTGGTGGATGAGAGGAACCATGTCAAGGAGCTGGAGCTTCACATCAAGAAGCTCAAGGAGGAGATTCAGGAAAAGGATGCCTACCTTGCCGAACACGAGGTAAAATTTCTCGATGAGGTCCAAGCTTCTAGAGTCCAAGCGGTTGAGGAGTTCAAGGTTTCACTAGGTTGGTTGGAGGAGAAGGACGAATTTGGCATCACGGCCTTCCGTTAGGGCATCAAACTCTATTGGATGCTAGTGAGGTCGGTGTACCATGAGCTCGACCTCACGCCCATCAAGTCCTCGGCTTGCACCAATGAGATGTTCGACCAGGTTGACCTAGATCCGGATTCTGAAGTGGAGGAAGACGGGGCCGACGAGGGAGATAGGGAGGAAGCTGAAGTGGACGCTGCTAAAGAGGACGCCATCAAGGAGGAGGCCACCGAGGAGGAAGCTGCCGACATTGCTGGAGATGAGGACGAGGAGCCCCAAAATGTCTAAAACTTTTGCCTCTTTTCTTAGACCCCCCTACACATGTGTAAAGTGCCAAGCCTCCGAGCTCAGTCCAAAAAACTTTTCTTTTTTTTTATGACAACGATGTAATCAATTTTTAACTTCAATGAATGAAAGTATTTTTTCTGCACACCTCGTGTTTGTCTTCTTTTAACATTTCTTTTGAATCTGAAACTTCGTAAAAAATAAACCAAGTGTAGGATTATCCCGAGGTGCCTAGCTCTCAAGGTGGCTAGGCATAGTAGGGGATTAACCCGAAGTGTATATATGCCAAGGAAACTAGGCATAGTATGGGATATAACTCGAACTGCCTATATGCCAATTGGGCATAAACTGGGATTACCCCAAACTGCCTATATGCAAAGCAACTAGGCTTTATCAAACTACCGAGGTCGTTACCAAGTCAGCATAGGGGGCTTTTAGGATTAAAGCGACTTGGCATCCCCTTTGAAGTGTAATTTAGCCAACGTGCTCTTTACGCAGGACAGCTCGACCAGGTCACCGAGGTGGGCGGCAGTCTTTAATTGGCGAAGTTGCGGATGCTGGACTCTCGAGCTCATAGGTAGTACCTCCCGAGATTGTCCATGTTCCAAGCATAGGGCACCTTCTTCCCTTCCAACTTCTTGAGCTCGTACATTCCTTCATTGATCACTCGTAATACTCTGTAGGAACCTTCCCAATTCGGGCCTAGCTTACCTACACCGGGCTCAGGTACCATAACTTTCCAAAGTACAAAGTCATCAACTCGGAAGTGGCATCTCTTGACTCAGACATTGTAGTACCAAGCTACTCATTGCTGGTAGGTCACGACCCGAATATAGGCCAAGTCTCGAACTTCTTCCATTAGGTCGAGGTTGGTCCGTAGCTCATCGTCGTTGGCCTCCTCGTTGCAGGCTTCTAATCACAAGGTGGGCACTTCGATCTTGATAGGGATGGCGGCCTACGTTCCATATGTAAGATTGAATGGAGTCTCTTCGATCGTCGTTTTCATTGTAGTTCGGTAGGCCCAAAAGATGTTGGTAAGCTCATCTACCAATAAACCCTTAGCTCAGAAAAGTCGAGCTTTAAGTCTGTGAAGGATTGCTCTATTCGTCGCCTCAGCCTGTCTGTTTGCTTAGGGATGAGCTACCAAAGTGAAGTTTTGCTAGATCCCCATCTCTGTGCACCAATTTTGGAACTTTATGTCCTCAAACTACTTCCCGTTGTGGGATATCAGCACCTTCAGGAGATTGAATCTGCATAGTATGTTCCTCCAGAAGAAATTATATACGTTCCGAGTTGTAATTGTCACCAATGGCTCGACCTCCACCCACTTCGTGAAATAGTCAACCACCATGATGAAGAACCTTCTCTGCCCGTTCGCTGGTGGGAAAGGACCGAGGATGTCTATTCCCCATTGGGAAAATGGCCACGGGCTGGTCAGATACTTAAGGTCGACAGTGGGCTGGTAGGGTATGTTGGCATGCCTTTGGCAGTTGTCACACCTTCGGATGAGCTTGAGTGCGTTCGCCTTCATCATAGGCCAGTAATAGCCTTGCCTTAGCGCCCTACCCCCCAGATGTCCTCCCTCGTCGATCTCGTGTAGCACCTGGCTTGCCTCTAAAGGACACAAGCAGCACAGGTAGGGGAGCGTAAAATATCTCATGTACAACTGTTCGCCAATAATGACATAACGAGCTAATTAGCGCTCTACCCTCCGAGCTGCATTGTGGTCTACTAGTAGGGTCCTGTGGCATAGATAATCAACGAGCAGGTCCATCCAACTTAGTTCTACTGCCAAAATAGGAGCGACCTCTTCTGCCACCATCTCGATACTAGGTCATAGCAGGTCTTCGATGTAGACCGTTCTTCTTGTCACATCGGTCCTTGGTATTTGTTGGATATACCAGGAATGGAAGTCGGGCAGGAGCTCTCTCACCTTGGCCAAATAGGCTGACATGGTGGGCTCTCAGGCCTTGTATTTCCCATTCACCTGGTTCACGACCAGTTGAGAGTTGCTACATACCATAATGTGCTTAGTGTTGACCTCCCTCGCCAAAGTCAACCCGGCTATCAATGCCCCATACTCTACTTCATTGTTCAATGCTTCGAATGAAAACTGGAGGGTATACTCCAGCTTCACCTCGCTAAGCCCGTAAAGTATCAGCCCAACTCCACTTCCATGCTGGTTAGACGAGCCGTCGACATGGAGGATCCAAGGCTCCTCATCCCAGGTCGAGGCATCCCTAGCCGAGACAGGCTCCGCACTAGTCGATGCCTCCGACGTGCTAACTGGCTCAGCCACCCCAAGGGTCAGAGTGTTGAATGTGCACTCATTGACAAAGTCTGCTAGGACATGCGCTTTGATTGTTGCCCGCGGCTCGAACCGGATATCGTACTCTCTCAACTAAATTGCCCACTTTGTCAACCTTCCTGAGACCTCGAGCATCTAAAGAATGTGCTTTAGAGGTTGATTAGTCAAAACTACGACGATATGGGCTTAGAAGTAAGGACGTAGTTTCCAAGCTGCCAAGACTAAGGTGAAGTCTAGCTTCTTTATGTTGGGGTACCTAGTCTCAGCTGCATGCAAGACTTTGCTTATACAGTAGATGGGTCGGTGTACCCTATCTACTTCCCTTACTAGTATCGAGCTCACTACCTCGTCGCTCGTAGAGAGGTAGAGTTTCAGTTCATCTCCAGGTTCAGGTCAAGTCAACAATGGAGGTGGGCTGAGGTACCTTTTGAGCTCATTAAACGCGAGTTGGCACTCCTTGGTCCACTTGAAGTCCTCGCTCYTTTTTATTGCCTTAAAGAATGGTAGAGACCGCCCAACCGATTAAGACATAAATCGGTTCAGGGCAGCAATCCGGCCAGTTAACTTTTGTACTTCTTTGGTTGACCTAGGTGGTCTCATGTCTAGGATTGCCTGGACTTTATTCGGGTTGGCTTTGATGCCACGTCGCTGCACTATGTAGCCAAGGAATTTGCCTGATGTGACCCCAAAGACACACTTGTTCGGATTTAGTTTCATGTTAAATTTTCTTAAAATTTAAAAACAAAATTTAAATCATTAACTAAATAGTTTGAAAATTGGGTCTTCACGACCATGTCATCAACATAACACTCAATTTTATTTCCAATTAATGGAGAAAAAATCTTATTTATAAGTCATTAGGAAGTTGCTCTAGCGTTTTTTAGTCCAAAGGGCATTACTTTATAATAGTATAGCCCCATCTCGATTACAAATGCAATATTTTATTGGTTTTCTAAGTCCATCCAGATCTGGTTGTAGCTGGAGTAGGCATCCATGAAGCTCAGCAACTCGTGCCCTGAGGTCACGTCTACTAGGCGGTCTATTCTAGGGAGCGAGAAACTGTCCTTTGGGCAGACTCTATTGAGGTCAGTGTAGTCGACGCACATGCGCCACTTTCTGTTCACCTTTTTCATAAGCATTGGGTTGGCTGCCCAACTCGGATACTATACCTCTCTAACAAAGTCTATTGCAAGGAGCTTCCCAATCTCCTCATCTACTACCCTCTACCTTTCTAGGGTGAGATTCCTTTTCCTTTGCCTGAATGGCTTGACTAAATGGTCCACATTGAGTTTATGAGTAATTATTGATGGCTTTATGTCGAGCACTTTTGTTGTCGAGCATGCAAAAACATCTAAATTTTGAAATAAAAAACTTACTAGTTGCGACTGAAGTGGTTCTACTAGGCAAACTTTGATCTGGACTGTCTTCTCGGGCTCAATATTGAAGACCAAGACCAAGACAGTGTCCTCCATTGGTCGAGCTCGCTCATTTGTATTCTCGGGGGTGGCTCCAAGTCGACGTCGTCCACCAGCTTCCCCTTGCCCTTCAATGCCACAACAAAGCACTTATGTGACTCTAGTTGGTCGTCACGTACGAAGTGCATGCAAGATGGGCGACCTAGTATAGCATTATATGGGGACGAGGTCACAACCACCAGGAAGGTGTACTCAAATCGGATTGTGTTGGGCTCTGGCACCTTGATATGACCTAAGGCCCTCACCACGTCTCCGTTGAAGCCAATGAGTGGAACATCTGCTGGCTGCAAGTCCTTCCTCTCCAACTGTATCTTCTCAAAGGCCTCCAGGAAAATAATGTTGGTCGAGCTCCCGGAGTCGACCAAAATCCACTTTACCTCGAAGTCATTGATCACCATCTTGACAACAAGGGCATCGTCGTGTAGATATTGGATCCTGCATGTGTCATCCTCAGTGAAGTAAATGACTTCCTCCACACAAGGGTACTTCGGCAAGTTCTCGTTTTCATGCTCAAGCTCTCGGACTGAGTTCCTCACCGCCRCGTTATAACCTTTGGTGATCATGTTAATCACCTCGCGAATAGGCCTCTCCGGTGGTGGTGGATCCCGAAGTAGTTGATCCTGATCCTGGTTCCTGGTTGACTCTAGCACTTCTATTGGATGGACGATAGGTTGACTTCTATCATCATGCTTGATGAATTGCTTCAGGTAGTCGTGATGGATCAGTTCCTCAATCCCATCCTTCAAGTTCTTGCAACTTTCTATGTCGTGGCCTATGTCACGGTGGAAGTGACAATACTTGTTAGGCTTGCGGTTGGTGGGGTCGCCTCTCATTCTGGGTGACCATCTCACATACTCGGTTGTCTTTATTTGCATTAAGATTTTGCCTCGTTTTGCATTCAGGGCGGTGTAGTTCATGCTCTAGATTGAGGGAGTTCTGGATCACCAGCCTGATCTGGAACTCCAATGTGGAGACTTGCTCCTTCTTAGCGACCTGCTTTGCCTGTTGCGGGGTAGCTAGCTCTTCTTCGGCAACTTGCTCTTACGTCGCTGCTTGTTGCTCCCCGCTTCTTCTTCAGCTCACTTTCTCTTCCCAGACAACTCTAACCAAGATCCCAGTGCCTCCTCTGCCTTTGTAAACTTGTCAACCTGGTGGAGGAACTCCTCCATAGTGGATGGAGGGTTCAACTCAACTTCCTAGCGCAAGTCGGGGTGGCAGACGCCGTTGACCGCTGCAGTAAGCTGTACTACTGGGTTGAGGTTGGGAATTTGGAGGCACTCCAAGTTGAATCTCTTGATGTAATCCCGAAGCGTCTTGTTCAGTCATTAGACAATATTGAGTAGGCAAGTCACTGACTTTGGGCACCTCTTGCTAGTGCCAAAGTGCATTGTGAACAGCTCTATGAATTGGTTCCAACTCTTTATCAAGCCCATGGCCAGTCTCGAGTACCACATCCGATTTGTACCTCGGAAAGTTGTTAAGAAGGCCATGTAGAGGCTCGCATCACTCGCCCCATGAAGTTGCATTAGGGCCTGGAAGATGTCGATGTGGTCCACGAGGTCTGTTGTGTCGACATACGACTCTAGGCTCAGGGCTTTGAAGTCCTTAGGTAGTGGAGTCGTAAGGATCTTTGGTGCCAATGGAGAGGTGCGAGTCATCTGTGGTGCTGCTAGCTACATGACAACCTGGCTGACCTCCCCTTTCTTCTCTACCTCCTCGTTGTTAGTGGGAGCGAGGTGGCTTCTCCTAGTGTTGCGACGTGCATTCCAACAATGCCTTCTCCTTGACACCTCGGTCGTGTTGTTGCCTTCTGTCCTGATGGGTGTCATGACTATGTTGTGCTCCTCAATTGGGACCTAGTTCTGGTCATCAGCACGACGAGGTGGATCCGGGACCTAGTCCTGGTTTCTGATGTCGGGCTGTTAGTCACCTGGTTGCTAGTGTTGCTGGTTCAGATTTTGCTATTGGTTCGGCTACTGTTGTGGTTGCTGCATGAAGGTGGGAAACCTTTCTTCCCATGTCCACATCTGGAGGTTCATACCGTGGACATACTGCACCAACTCGTGGAACTGGCGCACATCCCAATGGGAACCACTGATGACTCGACTAGAGGGAGAGGCGCGTTCACCTAGTGTAGAGGGAAGGCTTGGTTTGGCATTGGTGGGACGCCAGGCAAAGTTAAGGGCACTATGAATTGCCCAATGGTCACAGAAGGGACTTCAGGATGTGCTGCAAGCTATTCTTGCCCCCCCTTGTGACCTGGTTGTTGATGATGACGGGCTTATTGTTGCTTGAGGATGCCATTGAATCAGTGAGAGTAAGAAAGCAAGGTGAGACTATAGCTTTTTGCTGTGTGTTCGCACAGACAACGCCAATTGATGATGTGCAATCTGGTCGCTCCCTACTGAAAGGCAGCTCAAACGTCAAACTGCTAGGTAGTCGGGTCGACCTACAAGACAAGAAGATCAGAGCTCCCGGGTACTTTACCTGGTGTGGGCACTCCAATGCTTAAGGGGATGTTTGGAACCGTGGCCATTTTTCAAAAAAATGGTTGCCACRTCGGATCCACATAGGCTTTTCAACAAGTGCCCATGTATCTCATTGTTTGGTTCAAYCGATTATTAAAAAATCGGGCAAGCCTCAAAAATCGGGACCCTGCGTTTCATGCATCAGTGAACAGTTCCCCCCAATGGTTGACTGATGTGTATCCTATGTGGTGCTTACCTGTCAGCACATACATGAAAAACGGTGATGAAAATCACCTTACCAAACAGCATAGTGTTGCTCACTGCCTACGTGGCAGAAGCGTTTTTTTTTTTTTGTGACAAATGAATCTTGGAAGCATGGGCGTTTTTTCTTGAAAATCAGTCCCAAAAAGCACCCACGCTTCCAAACACCATGTAAGTTAGTGAAGGAGATTGTGGAGAGCAGATTGCTTTAAGAGTAATAATATGTGAGAGCTAAATCACACGTACCTTGTGAGGCTAGAGGTGAAGCCTTTATATAGGTGAGTTGTTGTGGGCCTTACGATGCATGTCTGAGATCAACGAGCCCACCTAACCCGGAGTCAGTTCCGCACCCGAAGATGGACTCCGAGTAAGCTGATAAGACTTATCTAGGTCCGTTCGATTCGGGCAGGATGATAAGATCTGTTGGCGTGCAGTGTGATCTTGAGGTGATCAGAGATAGTTGGCTCGCTTATAGAAGGAGGCGCTTGGCACCTTAGCAGGTCAGTGAGTGTGGCGAGCTGCTTGGGCCTCGGTGTCTTGGATGAGTGGCCCGAGGTGCCTTGAGGTGACTAGGACTGTTGAGGTGTCTAGGGATGCTGAAGTGTCGCCAAGTCAATGGGTTGCTCCACGTGTCATCATGTCATTGCTCATGCCAAATTACCCCTCATCAAGTACAAATACAAATTCGTAGAGTGCAAAACCTTGTATTTTGTATGTATTTGCATAGTACATATTTGTATTTGTACTCCTTCTAAATTGAGCCTGAGTAAAATTTGGCTCAACTCGGCTAATTTGCAACCCTGAGAATTTAAGCAAATAGATATAAATTGGATAACTACCACAAGTTCCTACAGATACCCTGAAAACAAAGGCACAACTCCACAGGAGACAACTGCCCTGGTTACCCAGTAAGAGACATAACCATGAAAGTTAGAGTTACAATATTGATACCCCAATAAACATATGATTGGGATACCAGCACCAGGAGGTAAATCACCTTGTTGATGAAGTTAGGCATGAATGCTATTGTCTATTTAGGTCATGTTTGGGAGTGTATATTCCAATAAGCACTTATTTGCATTTAGCACCCAATTTTTTCAAGTTTTTATTTTAAAAAATAAGCACTTATTTCATATTAGGCATTTGGTAGTCTTTTTCTCCAATAAGCACTTAACTAAGCATTCGTGACTATTTTATCCTTTATTTTCTTTCAAATTTTCAAAATATACCCTTATGAAAGTACTTTTATTAAACTACTTTTATAAAAACACTTTTATGAAAATACTTTTATAAAGCGCTTTTACAAAAGTAATTTTATAAAAAGTACTTTTACATGAAAACACTTTTGTAAAAGCACTTTTATGAAAGTACTTTTACGAAATTTCATAAAAATATTTTTACAAAAGTACTTTATAAAACAATTTTATGGAAGTACTTTTACGAAGGCACTTTTATGAACATACTTTTATAAAATTCAACTATGGATAATTTTGAAAAAAAAAATTGAATATGTATAAGCACTTAAGAAAAGCTGAAATTTAGGGCTTAAAAATTAAACCCTTGTTTTTAAAATAAACAACTATTCCAGGCTTATTTTCCAAACACCAATAAATGCTTTTAATGGTGTGGTCCTAGCCTAAATAAGTAGTTATTTCGAATGAACACTTATTTTTAAGCACTCCCAAATAAGCACTAGAAATTCATTGATTCAATCTCAGAAAAGTTATTTTTCATTCATTCTGTTCATGTATAATATCATTCATTTTAGTTGATATAATTCATAATATTATATTTTGATCATTTTAATTTAATTTGTTAATGGGACAACCCGAATCTGAGGTAAAACACAATGGACAAGATTTGATCCGAACCCAAATATTAACTAATCAAATTTGGATCTAGGTTATCCGATTCTAGTAAATCCGATTGCAGCTCTAAACAAAGTAAGGTGAGACTGTATAAAGGGAAGATCCCCGACTACACAGACTACAGGGGTGAGGGGGCAAAATAGAGAAAGCAGTCTTGGGTCGACCTGGTTGTCCGACTTCAGGTTTCCCTCTTGGTCGTATCTCTGACAGTCCCTGATCCCCGCTTCCCTGTTCCTATTTAGCAGACTAGCTAACCGAGTGGCTGGTTTAGGCCCAGGGAATCCATTATTCTTCTACATCTAAATTAATCTGGAAAACCAATCACTTTCATTAGATGATCAGGAACTATTACAACATCAAGATACCAATCGGATTCAATTTTCCATAAAGACTAACTAGTTGCCTTTTTGTGGACCACTTGGATAATTGGATCCAAAAGAAAAATGAGGTATCCACCTTGAGACTACATCCATCCACCATATCTTCTTCATCACTGTTCTCCAACATAAACCTAGGACTAGGCTTGCAATGCCAATGCCAATACTGGAGAAATATAGAGCCATATCATTTACCTATTGTTTCACACTTTCAGCACAGATAGACAACAATTCCATGCAATAAGCAGTGAAGGGGCAATTGCAAAATGTCACACATTAAACTCTAAGACTAAGGACTCGGGAGTCCTTACATCTTGCTTTAACATCGCTAGAAAGGAATAAAGAAATTAAAATATTCTATAAGGTTCACAAAGGATTATATAAGAATGATTAGCAAAAATACAAATCAAGTAGATATATAAGCTGACCAGTTAAAAGTATACAAATTTCCTGAATAAGCAATTAATAACTCCTCTCAGAAGCCATTGATGTCAGTTGGCAGGAAAATTCCTAGTGAACTATCACGTACTTACCACTTTCCAGTCTGAAAACCATGGGGAGCCAATGCAAACACCAGATTTCAAAAAAAAAAAAAAAAAAAAAGAAGCTTCTGTAAGTATACAAAAAATATTCTTGGTCAATTCCCACAGACCTCAGGTTTCATGCCTCTGCTGGACGCAAGTTCACTAGTTTGAGGCAGTGGTAAAGCCTTTGTAAGGACCTCAGTTGATGGTGAACCACGAGCCTTGTTCTTTAATTGTTCTAGGAGTCGGTGAGCTTCTCTATATTCATCTCTTGCACTTGGTCCATGGCTTTCCCATGCATCAATTACTCGCTGCTGGAATTCCATTGCAAGGGCATAGCTGCTCCAACCAAGGCCATGAGATAATTGATCAAAAAACTTGTCCCAATATTAATAAAAAACACAATAACTAAAACAAGTCAGTTAACTTCATTTCATGCCACTATACATGTATTTACACAGTGTTTATATGGGCGTATATATATATATATATATATATATATATATAGATAGATAGATATATGTTTCCGCACAAGTTGTTGACAAAGTCCACCAGAATACCAAAACTGAAGAACCATTCCTAAAAATTGCAGTCTAGTAGTCTGAGACTGATACTGGAAGGTAAGCATTCATAATTAGCATATGAAAAGAAAATTACTTGGGCTTCCTTAAAATGTTATTGCCACAATATGTGAACCTTCAAGAACAGGTTGAAGAGGATGATGTTAGCTTTACAATCTTCTCTAATTAAAACGTTTCTTGTCAACACGAAATCACCAAACGTTACTATAATGTTGAAGACGTCTATCAAACAAACAGAATGATTTCCTCGGTCATGTTAAGGAAGTTCAGAATATTCCTTTTTTTTTTGGTAATCAAATATTTCATTTCATTACTACAATATTAACAACAAGAAGAGGAGCACTTAGGATATCAATGGGGACATGTTAATCAGGTAAATTTGCCACACCCTGCCCCTATTAGGATGGATGGGTTTGGTATGAGTATAATCACGTTAAGGTTAGGCTCTGGTTAGGGTGTATGCAACTATTACACTGCCACTGCACAAGTGCTTTTATATAATACATGCGAAGTGCTTTTTATGCAGATACCATATTTTCTGTATAGTAACAAAAGAAATTAATCAAACTAGAAAATAGTTACAAGAACAGGTGAGGAGATTTCACCACAAAAATGGTATAAAAGAAAATACATAACCAATAACTGAACAACTAACTTTTAGATAAAATGATGTTAGATGTCTCCCATAGACTAGCCCCAAAAGACCCTATAGAAAATCTTCAAAATCATTGTTAGCCAAAACCAACTCTACTATCATTCAGCAGATGCCAGCCACCAAATTTCTTATTTGTTGAGACTTTCAGTCAAATACACAATGGTTTCTTTATTTCCAAATATCCCAGCATACCACGAATAGAATAACACTTCATAAGATTTTAACCCTTCTCCTTCCTGGAAATGCATGTCACCTCAAAAAATCTCATTTGAAAGATCAGGCTGAAACCTTTGAATACTTGAAAGTTAAAAGAAGAAATCCCAAACGAATTTAGCAACCTCAGAATGAAGAGATGGCAAGCATCCTCTTTGAAATTTCTATACATGAAGCACAGGCTAGTCATCTGGAAGTCTAAGAGGAACAACTATGCAAATGCTTCAACCCTATTAGGAACCAGGTTACCTCATACCCCTCTTAAAGGAAAATGCTCCACTTGATTCCTGATCATTGTATTCTAAAAGGACATTAGATAAAATTTACCAGCTGAACATACCTTCCACCACCTAGCATCCAATGCTTTTTTTATTTCATTAAAAATATTCAAAAAGTACAAAGCTAACCCCTGTACAACGAGGATCTGTACAAGGATAACTTTCTATAGCTTTACAAAAACAAAATTCCAATAAAAAAAGTATGAGTATGTCTATTTCTGAACAAACAAAGAGTGATTTGCCAACGATGAAAAAACCATGCCCAACACCATTTTGAGAACCACCTCCACTTAATTCTGCCTTCCCTCAAATATTGTAGCCTTTATTTCACTCCACATTGCCCAGAACAGAGCTGCTGAAATAAATGACCTATGCCACCTTTCCAGCCTTGCCCCCTCAAATAACCAAGCACCCAAAAAGCTCTTACATTGCAGGGAAACACATCTTAACACCAAAGATATCCAACATTTAATCCCAAATCCAATAGACAAAATCACAATGTAATAAAAGATGATTAGTGGTTTCCTCTCTTCTCACACATATCCCGCATCCACCACTTCTAAATCCCTTCTGACTAGGTTGTCTCTAGTCAAAATCTTTTGTTTTCTTGTTTTTTTTTTTTTTTGATAATTGTCTCTAGTCAAAATCTTGTTCAATAGAGCTGACCAAACAAAGAAAGCCAACTTAGAAGGAACATTTCTGATCAATATTTTCACTAGGAAAATCAGAATTTTCCTCCCTTATCAAGCTGCTGCCTGCTCTAGAAAGATTGAACAGTAAACTCTCCTGATTTTTCAAACCTCCACAGCCTTTGTGTCCTCTCCCTTGCACTACTGATACTCGTGTTGTATAGTACTTATAGCAACCTGATGAGTAGGGGTGGATACAAGTTGAGCCAAGCTGAATATTAGACTATTTGAGCTCAGCTATGCATAAAAGCATAAGGCTCTAGTTCAGGATCAAGCTAGAATTCAGCTTGACTCAAAAGCTCATATAGTCAAGCTCACCTAGGCTTGAGCTTGATAGTGAGCCAAGCTTCATATAAACAATAAAAAATTATACATATAAAAAATCATTTCTTATTATACATATAAAAAAACATTTCTTACTGCATATTTAACACCCCTCATAAAATGAGGATGAGCTTTCTAATTTCCAAACTCCATCAGGCTACTGTTACATTCTGGCAGCTAGCATCCAATGTATTTGGCCCATCCAACAATGGTTGATGAAAATTGGACTTCATACAATCTAACCACCCCTTGTTTCAAACATTGATTAATGATAATCTTGTTAGAATTAACCAATAAGGTCTCAGAATAGACCCATCTCCATGCAGAAATTTAGTATACCCTGCAAACTCATTATGAAATTTCATGATCACCTTCCGAACAAAATACCCCGTAAGTTGGTGAAACTTACTTACAGAAGGATCCTTGGTTTCCTGCAAACCAAGTTTTGGAAGGATCCTTGGTGCTTTGGTTCTCTTGCTGAATCTTTTCCTCTACTTTTTCAGTGTGCATCTAACCAAGAGGCTTCTGTTGCTGAGTGTTGCAGCTTGTCTTGAGATTCAGTTATTTGGTCCCCTACCTTTAGAAGGAATCTGTTCGACTAGGAGATTGAAGAGATAATGAATATGTTGACTATTCTTCAGACTCAAATGGTTGATTTCTGCTCAGAAGATAAGTGGTATTGGAAGTGGAATCCAGATGGTGTTTTCTCTGTCAATTCTTTGGCTTCCAAACTTTGTAGAAAGGGTGCCACTGATTTCCCATGTTCTCAGGTGTGGAATCCTATTACCCCATCTAAATCCAACTTCCTGGTCTAGACTATGGTTCTGAATAAATGTCTGTCTAGAGCTAATCTTGTGAGAAGGGGCATTCATCTGTTGGACCTTTCGTGCAGTCTATGTGGGAACAATTCTGAAACTACTGACCATCTGTGCATTCACTGCTCTTCTCATCTGTGGAACCACTTTTTCAGCTCCATGAACCTAAGATGGACTATGCCAAGATCGGTAAAAGAGCTTTTGTGTTGCTGGAACATCAAAGGTCTTAACAAGAAAAGGAAGATAGTGTGGAAGACTATTCCTAGTGCTGTCTTATGGTCCATCTGGTCTGAGAGGAATAGTAGGCTTTTCTGTAATAAGGCCTTAAGTCCAGAAGATTTAATCCAGAAGGCTGTGGGCAAGTTAATCACTTGGGTGTCAGTTTCTAAGGAGTTTAGAAATTGTAATTTGTCTGTTGTTTTCCGTTCTAGGTCTTGGTGGAGTATGTAATTGCTGTATTGATCAGTCTACCTTTCTGGGACTGATCTCAGCTTGTATGTGCTGCTTTTGAATAAATAAATATTACGTTACCTTTTTCCAAAAAAAACTTACACCCCTACTAAATCCTCTAATTTTATAATTCCACTCAAGGTTCAAATTTTCGATACAGGTTGATACGCCAGTAGGGGCGTATCATCCTGTATCAAGGCTCGCTTCTCCATTTTTTTTAGTTTTTTTCAATCTGGTTCAAAGGGGTCGGTTTAAGGCCCATCTACCCCCTGAACCATGGTCTGACCTGAAACACCCACTGTAGGGGCGTATTGTGAATCCCTCAATACGATACGTATCGGCCGATACAGCCCAATACGTATTGAATTTTGAACCTTGATTCTACTAAGAACTTCAGTTCAGCCATCAATATGAACAATAAAGGAGAAAGACAATCACTTTGATGTATACCTGTAGATGCCAAAAGGTTTACAACAAAGAACCATTTACCATAATAGAAAATGAAACTGATAAAACACAAGAAAACACCAAACCCCTCTGCTTTTCTCAAACACCCATGATATGCAAGACTTCTTCAAGAAAACTCCATCATATGCTTTTTCAAATTTAAACACCAATCTAATATTATCAATTAGGGGTGTTCGGTCAGTTTGGTTCATAAATAGAACCTAACCGACATTTCAGTTAGTCAATTTTCATGAACCAAACTGAACCAGACCAAATTCAAATCGGTCCAGTTCGGTTCAGTGTTAAATCAGTTAATTTGGTTAGTTAAAATATAAATGTATGTTATATTTATATTAATAATTATTATTATTATTAAAATATATCAACATTTGTAATTAAAATACATATTATATATTATTAATATAAATAGTAATATTAGTATTAATATTAATGTTTATAATAAAATATAAATATATGTATTTATTTTGGTTAATTCAGTTTTCGGTTCAGTTAGGTTGATTTTTTCCCAAACCAAACCAAAAACCAAAGTAACCAAACTGAATTGGCTTATTCGGTTTAGTTCGGTTCAGTTTTGAGTTTGATAACCAAATTTGAACACACTTAATATCAACCTTGGATCCTCATCCTTGAATCAATGCATTTACTTGCTATAAAGACCTTTCGGAAATTGTCTTCCTTCCACAATTGATGTTTGATACGGAACGTTCTAATGTGGAGATCTGAGTAGTGAAAGGATGATGTTAGGGCCAGATTTGGTATGACCATATGAAGATGAAGGGGGAGTTTTTCTTTTTTTTTCTTTTTCTTTTTTTTTATGGTTCTGGCCTTCTGGGTCCTGATAGAGAGTTTTTCCTTCTTTGTTTTGG